GAAGTAGCACCACACTGGAGAAGGACTTTATTTCCAGGGCAAGAGGGTGATTAGGAGACACTGCCAAGAGCAACAGAGAATCCAAAGACCTAAAAAGACTGAGTTCCGAGTCATGTTTCTAAGAAAGGAGTTTGAATAAGGAGAAAAGGACAAGCCAAATTATTACAACTGAAAGGTTATTGCTAGACTGATAAACTGTAAATGCTGAATTGCTTCATCTTGCCTGCTTGGAGTCAGAATTGGTTCCAGAGACTGGAATGTGGCTGAGCTAGGAAGTGGGAATAAAGAGCCCAGGGTGGGAGTGGGAGGGTCTGTCAAGGCTGGAATCCATTGGAGAGCCCAAAGCCTGCTTTAACCCAGTCAGGGAAAATGACTAAGAGTAGAAACTAGGTTCAAGAAATCATGAGTCACTCTTAAAAGAAACCAACATCAGTGTCAGTAACTTCCCTGGGAACTTGGAACATGTGCCTGCACAAATATTTTGCAATCTAATATCCTGCACCAACACTGAACTGCTCCTTCATCTGGATAGGTCACTCTAGTTTTTCCGATCTCAGAGCTCTTTCAGTTACCAAATGAGGCCAACAATATCTGTTTATAATATTTTTACCAGTAAAAAAAAAAAAAAAAAAAAAAAAACCATCAGAAAAAAGGTGACCTTTTGGAGAAATAAATTATTACATGTGAACTCTTTATACCCTGGGAGAGTCTGCAAACAGTTCCCTCTGAACCAATGTCACACTCATCGCTAAACCCATAAGTGGAACAATCCTCAGAACGAATGTGCAGTTCAGTTTCACAATCACAGCAGCAATTAAAATCTGAATTTCTCTACAATGAGATAGGAGTGAATTTTCCTCACACATTCTCTTCCAACTTAAGAAAACATTTGCTAATTTCCTATAATAGGCAAGGCATTATGTGAGCTGCTTAAAAGAGATTACAAAAATAACTAAGAACAAAAGCTACTTGACTTTAAAGTAAAAACAGAATTAGAATGTTAAGGATTGTTAGTTTGCTACCTATCAGAAATGTAATACTTCAAAGTTTAATTCAAAATGCTTTTTCCAGATATTCCTATAGTTCCAATACACTGGATTGCTACTGATACCTATAACGTGGATGAATCCCCAAATACATAGTGCTAAGTGAAGCCAGGCACAAAAGACTGCATCCTACATGATTTCTTTAGAACAAAGTTCAAGAATGGGCAAAATCAGTTTATGGAGAAAGTCTTTAAGTGTTTGCAGGGACCATGGGGAGGGAGGTGACATGAGAGGTGTACAAGGGTGCTGGAAATCTCCTCCATCTCTTGTTTTGGGCGGTGGTTATACAACTGTCATAACTTAAACTGATCAGTTAACTACATTTTCCTGTATATAAGATACACTTTTACAATGTTAACCAAAAATATCGCTAGACTAAATAAGCAGTACTAGGAATAGAGGGTTCAGACAAGAACATGGCAAAAAATAATGGTAGCATTTCTCATACTTGATCTCAATGGCATTTATATAGAAAATATTCCCAACTGGGAAGGAATGAGAGGTATCAGATGTAACAATCTAATAATACAGGCATATTACCTGCTAGATTTCAGTCATGTATGAAAGATCCTTACATAAAAAAAAAAAAAAGTAAGACTATTTAACAGCAAATGAAAACAGAATTTGCATCCATTTCTTCTTGCCCTATGAAGTGAAAACAAAGCAAGCTTTAATTTGCATTTTCCTTATCACTATTACTAGGGTGCTTTGGCTATTCACAGGGAAGGAATCCCACAGTATGACTCTCTAACATTAAGATTTTTCAAGGGTAACAAATCTTGAGAAGCATATCAGACTCATTGGTAGGTATTTTCCACCCTTACAAATTCTGATTCATGCCCTCGTGTGACTCTCAGTCGAAGTCAGGTTAAACTCTTCCTCCAGACAGGAATGAGTCACATCCCTCAGCCAGCAGAGCAGGAAGTCTGGAGCACCATTTCCGACTGAGAATCCAAAGGCTCATTCTCTTCTAGCTCCCTGCCTCTTGCTTCCTTGAAAAGAAAAGATGGAGTGCACGGAACAGATGTATCTGCTCCCTCTCTTTGCCCCTCCTTTGAAAATTCTGGGAAGCTACACAGAATTGCTGAGGTCTAAGCTTTCCATGGCTTCTCCTTTAGCACAAGGAAGGAAGATAATTGTGCTAAACTGAAATACAAAGAAAGAATGAAGGGAACTGGGGTGACTGACTAACTTTTGTTGCCTTCCAACCCAGGGCTATTATTTCAGCAAGGAACAAAGGGGCATTAGAACCACCAGCAACAGTACTACTTTGCAAGGTACATTAACAGCTATAAAAATCAATATAAACAAAACCTCTGCATGGTGAATTCCCTGAGTACAACTGGACTTGTAAGCCTGAAAGCATTTGTGGTGTTTTACACATTAATCTAACGTACATCTTGAGCCTTCTCATAGACCTGTTTTGCAAAGAGTTGATAATCTAGGGCCATGTTATTTTTAGAATAAGAATAACAGGTGCACTTGTCAGCCATCTCCCAGTGAGAGCCCATCCCCTTGAACTAGTTATGAATGCGCCCAAGTTCTGTTCTCAGCTATCCTGGTTCAGTCTCTTTTTTCGCAATCTTTAAATATAATCTGCTGGTATGCTGTTGGTATGTTTGTCTTCCCTGCCAGGCCACCTACTTTGAGAGAAGGGGCCACTTCAGTCTTGTTTGTTGTTCCATTTCTAGTACCTAGCACAATACCTGGCACACAGAAGGTGCTGAACAGATATCACGTAAATGAATGCATTTCTGTGTACATTTTTAGTTTTTATTTTATCACTTATTAGAATATAAGCTCCAGTGAAGATGGGATCTATTTGCTTCCTTATCTCTACACTTTAAATATACCACATGTATTTACTCAAATAGTAAAGATTGTGAGACAAGAAAAATCCAGTGCTCTAAGCTAAACGAAATCTCTATGCACATGACTTTTTCAAAAAGTAGTGGGCCTGACTTATGAAGCTGACTCATTGCTAGCAAATTACAGTCAGCTTTCAGAGGATTTTTTTTTCTTTGCCAAATAATTTAGTCAAGATAGTGATTGAACTCTTCAAAATAAGCATTTTGAAGTATAAAACAGGCCACTAGCCACAGTAAAGGCAACTGTAACTCTCAGGAAAACCATGATTACTCCATGGCTCAAAAGCCTTTTGCTGTGTTTGCTTACCCTTAGAGCAGATAAAAGGCCTATTTGGAAATGTTCATGTCTCCTCTATGATTTGTAGGCTGTGATATGCCTGTTATAGAAGCATGTACCAAGTGGGCAGTAAGTACCATTTAAATTTAAATGGAGGCAGAAAATATGAAATGGTCTGGCAATCTTCAGATAGAGAACAGTCTGAAATCTAGTAGACAGTAAGAATTGCAATTCTAAATGCAGTAAGATGAAATTTTGCCTTTCATAGAAAAAGTAACTCCCATGAAAGGCTTAAATAGAAAGCAAATAATCTTAAACTCTACTTTATTTGGGGATAAAAACAGCCTTCTTCCTTTCATTTTGCTCCCACTCATCCAAATGAAATGGAATGTCTAAACTTTTCTTAGGTCTGATAATGCTGAAGGCGGTCTGCCAGTGTTTAAGTTCTAACATTTGGTCATAGGTTGAGTCACTCCCAACTTTCAAGCATACAAAATGACAAGCATTAACTCCTGTATCTATTTTGCAAATTAAATAGGGATTATTTCTTTTTTTTTTATATTAGTAAATTCAAAATGACTCAAACTACCAGGGTAATAATTTGTGTGTTCTTTTTGCCTATCATTATACTCATCTAACAAGTTATATTTGACATCAAACTTTAACAACACTCAATGAATATAAATTCTAGTCTTGTAAGAAAATTAAACATTTTAGAATTTTTTCCTTCTTTTTTGAGACAGAGCCTTGTTTTGTGGTCGACCCAGGCTGGAGAGCAGTGGTGCAATCTTGGCTCATTGCAACCTCCGCCTCCTGGGCTCAAGTAGTCCTCCCATCTCAACTCCCCGAGTAGCTGGCACTACAGGCATGCACTGTCACTCTTGGCTAATTTCTGTACGTTTTTGCCAAGACAGGGTTTTGCCATGTTGCCCAGGCTGGTCTTGAACTCCTGTGGGACTACAGGTGTAAGCTAAGCCACCTCACCCAGCCTAGAATTTTTCCTTTTAAAATAACCATTGAAATAAGTAAAAACTACAAATATTCCTTTATCAAAAATTCAAGTGATCAATATTAAGAACACTATTCTTTAGACCTGAATACAAGACACTTTAAAATCTTAAATTTGCTAAATTAAGAAATGCTCCTATTTCTATTTTCTTTAGTAGAAAGGCTATCAAAATGTCATCTGATATTCCATTATGAACCTTACCTTTCATATTAAAATTATATATTCAAAACGATACAACTCTGTTGTGAAATGTATCTACTGGAAAATGCAATTTTATTTAAATGACCTCACTTATATTTCTCTTAGTTGTTTTACAATGACTGTGCAAGGAACCATCCTCATATTTTATATACATTGATAACAATCCAGTAGAGTATCAGTACCTGTTCTGTATTATCCCTACATTTTTCTGATATGGAAACCAAGGCCCCAAAGTTATAAGAAGCTGCTCAAGACCAGGTTATTTTCAGTCACATCACATAGCTCTTCAATAATCAATACCTTTCATTCATTTACCCATTCATGCAACAAAAACTTACTGATTGCCTACTATGCATCAGGCCCTAAGCTGCTCACTGAGGTGAAAGTTCTCCTCAAGATACTCCCAGTTTAATGGAAAAAACAAAAAGTGGCAATGAGCTGTATGAATGGAAAGAACAGCCTTCAAAGAAAGGCAAAATCTCTAATAAAAAACAAAAGAGGTAAGCCTGGGTTAACACTTAGGTAAAACCAGCTCCCCATAATGTTGATAACATTACCTTATAACTATGGAAGGCTTTTAGTGTATCACGCACCACCATCCTGCAAAGTAAGATTTTTAAATGGCATTCTTCATTTGATAAAACCATTTCGTATGAAGTAGGTTCTTTTTTTTTTTTTTTTTTTTTTTTTTTTAAAGACGGGGTTTCATTATATTGGTCAGGCTGGTCTCAAACTCCTGACCTCAGGTGATCCGCCCACCTCAGCCTCCCAAAGTGCTGGGATTACAGGCGTGAGCCACTGCGCCCAGCTAGTTTTTTTTTTTGTTGCTGTTGTTGTTTTGTTTTTTTAATAAAGAGACCAGGGGAGAGCGCGAACGCAGTCCCCACTACCACAAATCATGCAGTCGAGTTTCCCACATTTGGGGAAATCGCAGGGCTCAACACATCAGGAGTGCAATGGATAAGCCTCGCCCTGGGAAAACCACCTTCGTGATCATGGTATCTCCCCTGCCAGGTAAGTATATGAAGTAGGTTCTAATATTAGTCCCATCTTACAGATGAGGGGAAAGTTGTGTTAATCATTCAGGGTCACACGGCTGATGAATGTCTAGGCCAGAATTTGAACTCATATCAGTCTAAAAGTAAAGTTTAAGTAGTAGCAAGTCTCCATCTCTGTGCAGAGCCAGGCTAAGCCGTCTGATGAAAATAAGACAGAGGTAGAATTTAAACACAAACAAACATAAAAATAAAACTGAGGACAGTGATAAGCAGCCCAAGAATAAGAAAAAAAAAGCTGACATGGGAACATTAAAAGGATCACTGGCCAGCATGGCGGCCCATTTCTTCCTCACCATAGTCTCGCCACAGTACAGCAGAGTACCTGTCCACATCCTTGGCCAAATTAAGGTGTGGCTATCTATATCTGTAACAGATGGCATGTAATCTTTCACCACAGAGAAGAGTATCCTTTTCTTTTAATCTCCAGAATAAGTACTTATAATCTAATTCGGGTTTTCTACTTCAGATCCCAGACCCTGAGAAAGATCACCTTCACCTCATGTCTAATACCCACACTTAGCTGGGGGTTTGGGGAGGAGGGTGGATCTGCTCCAGCACATGGCCTGGTCTCTTATTCTCCCCTCCAGATCTGAGTGGCTATAGATTCCCACAGCATTACCACAGTCCTGAGAGTATGCAGGGATATCAGGGTGGCTGAGAAGCTCGTCTCTCAGAGACCCAAGATAATCTCCAATTTTATAGGATTCTTAGAGAAAAGAGGGGCAGAAACTGATGCTGCCTGTATACACAATGGCTGAAAATTAGCAAGGTGGGAAGTGAGTGGGAAGGATGAAGAGGTCAACAGGTTTTAAACATGAGGTCAAGATCCTTCCCCTCAGCTGCTGCCTGAGTGCCCTGCCTCCACCAAACACTGCTCTCCCACTACCCAACAGTGAGCTCTGAAAGATTCCTCCTTATTTCCGCATCTCCAGTCCTCTAAGATAGGAATTATGTAGAACTCTAACCACTGAGAATCCCACCATTAATCTTCCTCTCCTGTGTTCTACTGTGATATTCTAAAGACTCAAATTATAATAAATGCTAGTAACTTTTTAAATATTTCCTTCCACACTTTTTGTGCACACAACTATACGATGACACTAAAAAAGAAGCATGTATACTTTAATTAGAACTGCTTGGGCAGGTGCAGTCGCTCACACCTGTAACCCCAGAACTTTGAGAGCCTGAGGTGGGAGGATTGCTTGAGCCCAAGAGTTTGGGACCAGCTGGGCAACACAGTAAGACTAATTTCTAACAAACAAGCAAACAAAAAGGCAGGCCTGGTGGTGCATGCCTGTAATCCTGGCTACTCAGGAGGTTGAGGTAAGAGGATCACTTGCGCCTGGAAGTCTGTGCTACAGTTGAGTCATGATCGTGCCACTGTACTTCAGCCCTGGCAACAGAAGGAGACCGTGTCTTAAAAAAACAAAAACACAAAAACAAAACCTGGGAGAATAGGATAGGCCACAGGGACCACTGATGAAACTACAATCCCTACATTCATGAGCCATTTATTGGGAGCCACTATGTGTCAGCCTCTAGGATCTTTTGCTAAGATTCCCTGAAAGTGGCTCCCCCTGAAATCGGTTTCCTAGAATCGGGAGAATATTGTTAGTCTGCCCAAAGATCTGTAAGAGAAAAAAACACACACAATAATTATCTCTTTGCTGTTTGCAGAAACCACACACTATTCTTCAACCACCTTTATCTTTAAATGCATGTGTCTACAGCACAGCCACTATCATGATTACCCTTAGCCTAACACTTACACTTCCTGAGCAGTTCCTACATGCACAACATGATAGAGAGCCACAAAAATAGACAGTAATGTTTGAGGGGAAAGGACTTAGTGAGCAGAAGAACAGCAGTTTCCATGATTGCTTTTTCTTTAAAAAAAAAAAAAAAAAAAAGAATTTATTATAGGGTGATAATGTAACTGCCACTCATAAGTGTCTACGTGAAAAGGGTCCCTGCCCAGTTCCATGCATACCACCTTGCATCCTCTCAGCAACCACACAAGACTGAAGATACCAACTCAGAGAGGCTGAGAAGCTTGCCTCCTGCAATCAATTTTAGGGGACGAGGGACAAGGTGCTACGTGACCGTAAACTGAGGTCATATGACCGTAAGACTTTCCTCTTCACTCCTTACTGCTCTACAACAACAGTAGCTAATTACCTTTAAGAGCTCATCTTTCTTCCTTACAATTTTACTTTTCTTTCTTCCCAAGCAGCATTTAAGATTAGTAAACTGTGTTTTTACTATGGGTATCACTTTAGGAGGTCAAGGCGGATGAATCACTTGAGGTCAGGAGTTCCAGACCAGCCTGGCCAACATGGTGAAACCTTGACTTTACTAAAAATACAAAAAATTAGCGGAGTATAGTGGTGTCACCTGTAATTCCAGTTATTCGGGAGGCTGAAGCAGGAGAATAGCTTAAATCCAGGAATCAGAGGTTGCAGTGAGCTGAGATCATGCCACTGTACTCCAGCCTGGGCAAAAGAGCAAGACTCTATCTTGAAAAAAAAGGAAAGAAAACGATTTTTGTTAATTTTTTAAAGAAAGAATATGTTATGTTTTATACAATTTAGTCATTCATAGCTTGTTTAATAAAATGAAACAATGTCATTACTTTAAATCATAAATCATAATAAAACTTTTAAAATAATATTAAGGATCTGATTTTCATATGCAAAGAAAATGTATCATTTTTTAGAATTTAGTGGGAAATATGTTTTTCTTAAAAATTCAGTACAAATCAGGAAAAAAAGAAGCATGTGTAAGACTGTGTCTATGTGATATTGTAAGAAAACTTTAGCAGCCATCATTTTGTCTGCGCAAAGCCAAAGATTATTTTTCAAACATCTAGATACATTGTCTAGAGAAATCACCAAAAATTCAATTATAACAAAATCTTATTTTGGATAAAACAAGCTTTGAAAACAACCCTGTAATTTGCATAATTGTACTCTGTAAAATAACATCTATTTGCGTGACTCTGACCTAAGGCTAAAGTTCTGCCAAAGTTATAATAAATATTAGAAAGGAGAACTTTAAGTGCCAATGTCCCCCCTTTTTTTTTTTTCAATTTCAAATATTTGTATTTTAAAATAATGTGGGAAATAGAATTCCAAAATCCTATTATGAAAGCATTAAATATAAAAGCAACATCTGGACTTCACAAAAGAATATATTTTCTTTCATTTGCACTTCTGGCTGCTGAATAACTTACTGCAGCAAGATCTTTCCATTAGTATTCAAACATGTAGCCAGGGCAATAATAATTACTATGGCAGAGAAAGTTGCCTATTAACCCTTCAACTTGTCTTCTATGCAAGCGTTCCATGTGATGTGTTTTGGCTGAACAGTATTTGAATTGCTCTTTGGTCCATGTCCAAAATATTCTACTGTTGACATACTCATCTAGTATTCTTCAAACTGTCTGATTTTTGGGACGGATGCTAATTAATTTTTTTTTTTTTTTTTTTGAGGTGGAGTTTCACTCATGTTACCCAGGCTGGAGTGCAATGGCGCGATCTCGGCTCACCGCAACCTCCGCCTCCTGGGTTCAGGCAATTCTCCTGCCTCAGCCTCCTGAGTAGCTGGGATTACAGGCATGCACCACCATGCCCAGCTAATTTTTTGTATTTTTAATAGAGACGGGGTTTCACCATGTTGACCAGGATGGTCTCGATCTCTTGACCTCGTGATCCACCCGCCTCGGCCTCCCAAAGTGCTGGGATTACAGGCTTGAGCCACCGCACCCGGCCGGATGCTAATTAATTTTAATTGCAATGCCCAAAAGACAAAACTAAAGAAAAAAAAAAATAATGTCATAAGACAATCACTTAGCTGAATAAAATTCCCTTAATCTGTATCTTTACATATGATTTACCAATCAGTCAAGTAGTACATTTCCTTGGCTAAAGGTAATTGGAAATATTTTCTGTTCTAAAATTGACCATTCTTGCACAGATCCAGCCCTGAATGCATTATAATCAGGCAGCTTAAATCATATGGCATGCAAAGCTTCCATTATAATCTAAAAATGTCCCAAAACATATGTTTTGTTGAGCATCTACTATGTGGAAAACATTATGATATTCGGGCTGTGAGATACAAAGATGAGTAAGAGAAATCTTCCCTCAAGATGAGTGTTTTTGGTTAAGAGTTAGAGCTAAAATACAAAACACAAACCGAGTAAAGCATAACAAAAGAAAACCTAAAGGATTAGAGTGGAAACTTATTAAAATATAAAATTTTAATCACTTGCCACAGATATCACTAAGACATCAATACCATCCTTGAATTTAAGGCCAAATTGTGAGATTCTTTTTTTTTTGAGACAGGGTCTCACTCTGTTGTCCAGGCTGGAGTGCAGTGGTACAATAACAGCACACTGGAGCCTTGGCCTCCTGGGTTCAATCAAATCTTCCACCTCAGCCTCCCAAGCAGCTGGCACCACAAGCATGCGCCATGCCCAACTTATTTTTGCAGTTTTTGTAGAGACAGGATCTTGGTATGTTGCCCAGGCTGGTCTTGAACTCTTTGGCTCAAGCAATCCTCCCACCTTGGCCTCCCAAAGTACTGAGATAACAGGCATGAGCCACCATGTGGGATTCTTAATACGTGCTAATCTCCCTTTAAGAATATCAGAATTAAAATCATATATGACTGATGGTAGTCTTCATAGCATATGGTCTAAATTTAGAGGTTTCTAAAAGAAAAAAATAATAAATGTAGAGCAATCAACTTATGTGACTGCTTCAACCCCTTGAGAAAAGAGGAGTGTGTATATAGCTGAAATACAAAATACAATTTACGTATGAGGAACTCTTATTCTTTTAGAGCTGTGTTTGTCTCAGATCCAGATATTTTATTTTTTATTTTTTTTTTAGATCCAAATATTTTAAGAGGATACTGGGGAATCTTTTGGAAAACAATTATTTCACTTGAAATAATGTTGAAGACAAATCATGTCTGTGGATTTGAAACCAAAAATAACAAAAGGTTTATAAAAAAAAACCAAGACTATTCTAATGAATGAGAGGTTGTTATTTTGCCCAGGTTGGCCTCGAACACATAGCCCCGCCTCCTCAAGCACCAGGACAACTGGCATAAGCCACCACGGCCCCAGCAAGACTATTCTAAAAGAGACTTTGAGGACAGTTTGCTTTGTTTTTTAGCTGTCATCTACTTGGTACAGGGGACATATACACATGCATATGTATACATATGTATGTGTGTGTGTATATATATGTATGATATGTATATAACATGATCCCTTTGCCATAGTGAATAAGACCAGGGTAGTACCAAGGTTTAATTTCTGAGAAATCATCGTGCCTTTAGGAACACTCAGGATGTTTTGTTGTCCTAGCCCCATGCCCTCACCTGTCTTCTCATCTCTCCAGGGCAGCTGGCTCCACTGCTGCCCCAGTAGAGCTGTCCTGGATTCCCCTAAGCAAGGTCACATGCTTTCTCCTTGGTATCACCACTGAACCTGGTACAGATCTTGGTTACTGAAATTATCTGTTCACCTGTCTCCTTTCTAGATAGTGAGGTACTGGAGGACAGGGACCCTGGAACCTAGCAGAGTGCCTGGTAAAATACATACACTCAGCATTTTTAGAACAGATAACTGAGGGTATTTCAAAATGCCACAGAAGAAGAAAATTCTACTAGGGCCATAAAACCACTAGGGCATTATGTTAATCAAATTATTTAAAAGAAGAAATCATCCATTGCTTCCATAATTATTTGCTTGGCTCCTACCACCAGCTTAAAACACAAAGCACACAAGATACCAATCTTCAGGGAACTTACATTTTAGAGGAGAATGAGAAAGAGACACAACTCTTAAAAATTATAACAATGGAATATGTACAACATTTACAATATTTTGCATGATCTCCAGAAGACTCAAATAACTAGGCCATTCACCAGGAAATTTAAACTCTAGTTGCAGGAATAATAAATGCAAAGATAATGAACAACAAAGACAAAATACAGGATGAATGCTAACTGCATAGAACAAAAAATGACGGAGAATTCACTGTGGGTACTCTGGGCTAGGAGGATCATTAACAACTTTCTGGATTTGTGACAGACTTGGAAGGGAAGGGAGTCTGTGAGTATAAAAATACCAAGTGTTTTTTCTGTTCTCTCACTCAATACTCACAGAAGAGTTCTGACCAAACATGAAGGATTTCTCCCCAGAACAAACGTGCAATACATTCTGCAGTGGATATGAGCTGGGTATCCTCCAAATGACTTATGACACTATTTACCTGGGGATGGTATCAGATCCCACAGTTAAGGGTTCAGTCCCACAAGGCTGCCCCCAACTATTTCTAATGCCAATCACAAGCCCCAGGTCATTTTACCTGTGCTTCTGATGGACTATTTATAAATTGGGGTTCCCACAGCCCCCTCCTTGGGTTCCATTAATTTGCCAGAGTGGCTTGGAGAACTCAAGGAAACACTTCCGTTTACCGGTTTATTATAAAAGATAAAGATGAAGAGATGCATAGAGTGAGGAATAGGGGAAGGGGCACAGAGTTTTCATGCCTTCCCAGGGCAATCCACCTCCAGGTACCTTCACTGTTCAGCTATCCAGAAACTCCCTGAACCAGCTCTCTTGGACCTTTATGGAGACTTCATTGGATAGTTATGATTGAACCATGTTGAAAAGTGACTGGACAAAAAGCATATGATTTAATGCTAATAGAGTGAATGGGGAAACCCAGCAAGGCCTGTCTGTTCAGATTTCTCTGGCATCTCTGTGCAGCATGCCTTCCTCCAGGGTATGGGGCAGGACCCCTTCTGAAATGGGGTCTTATGGCCTACATTCAGACAAGGTAGATGGGAGAATTTCTTCACGGGCAGTTCTCACACAGAAAGGTGGTGAAAGATTAGAGTATATTTTTAGTTTCTAAAATTGGAGCGACAAAGATAAAAATAGGGCAGAAGGTCAGAGATGGAGATTCTGTTTTCTGAGGCCTAAAGCACCTCAACATTATAGCAAGAGTTACAGGAGTTACAAGCCAAGAACCATGAACAAAAACATATGTGTCATAATATCACGGGGAGCCACTGAAAAAAATGAAGGCGAGGCTGAAATTCCTAAGAAAGGGGATGGTCTGAGACAATGGTCAGAGAGGAAAATTGTAAGACTTGTTGGAACAATAGAAAATTCTCTCCTCCTGCCACCATCATCCTGGGCTCCTCTTTGCTTGCTGAAAACAATCAGCAGCTGAGATACTACAGATGTCGCCTGTTTCATAAAGCTCTCAGACCCATTCTTCTCTATTCCCATGACCGCTGCAGGCATTTCTGACCCAAACTACTGGAAAGGCTTAGCTCTACTGTCTCCCTTCCCAACCAACTTTAGAACGTGCTATTACGGAGATCTTTCCAAAGGCAAATCCAATCCTATCACTCTTTTCATTAAAATCCTTCAGAAGCTCCAAATCACATACAGGGTAAAATCCAAAATCCTTAAAGTGTATGGAGGATCCTTCATGGCATAGCCTGTCCTTGCCATCCCTTGCAGGTAACTATTTGGAACTCCAGACTCTCCTCCAGTCAATTTGGCACTACATTGCATCTGACCCAAAGATCTCTTCTGTGAAGCTCTCCCATCCTCTCCCTTTGGTTTTGTATGTACCTTTTATTACAAATGTCTGTCTGAATGATGCAGAGAAATCCAAACTCAGTTTCTCCTTCCGTACTCTCAACACAAAACAGAAAATGTTTATAACCAGGTGTGGAAAACTTCTCCCCACATGACAAGCAGGTAGTCTTTCAGCAATGGACACCAGCTGGGTGTCCTCTAAATCAAGTTAAATTGAATACTATCCACCTGCGGAAAGCCTCAGAGTTCACAGATTGAGGGCTCAGTCCTACAAGGCTGCCCCCTATTTCTGATACCAATCACAGGACCCAGGTTGTTTTTCCTGGATTTCTGACCCACTGACAGTCACAACAACATCCTCTTTGGGTTCCATTAATTTGCCCGGGCAGCTCACAGAATTTTTGCGTTTTTATGGAGGCTTTATTATATAGGCATGACTGATTAAATCATTGGCCACTGGTTATCAAATTAACCTTCAGTCTGGCTCTTCTGGCTCCAGTTTGGGAGATGGGGCTGAAAGTCCAACCCTTTAATCCTGCCCTGGTCTTACCAGCCCCCATCAGGAAGCTAGGGGTTACCAGCCATCTGTCAACTTATTAGCATACAAAAAGACACTTATCACTTTGAAAATTCCAAAAGTTTTAGGAATTGAATGCCAAGAAAACTGGAAGAATACTTTATGTATTTCACAATACCACAGTCTGCTTCTAAGGAACTTTTCTCCTGAAAGACGCCGGTATGTCTTACTCATTTTTAGTCTCCCAACACCTGCCCCAGCACCTAATCCTGAAACTAGCATAGAAGGATTGCTCAATCAATGTTTATGAAGGAAGACTGGGGCCAGTATTAGATTTACAGGTGATTAAACCTGAAATAGGTAATAAGGGATCAGAGGTGGCTGTGGGAAGGTAAAGTCTATGTAAAAATGTGACAGTTGTAAAGGGAGCCAATAGCTGGACCACAGGTCTCAAAGGCCATGGACCATGTCCTCTGTCTACCCCCTCAATGACACGACCATTAGTGGTGGGGATCAAAGAGTAAACTACCATAAACAGACTAGGAACTGAAAGCAACCTACCAACCATCCACAAACAAAACCTTTTTATCTGAACCATCGGAGTAGTTCCTGATAGCTTATAGTCTTTTCTGGAACCACTTTTCCTCCTTCAGCAAAGCTTGATCATAGAGAACAGAATGCAAGAAACAAAATAAAGCAGCATGCTAATCTGATTCTGCATTCTGGCTATAAAAGCTGTTCCTATCGCTTTCTACACTAACAGGAAGAGATGCTGAATTTAATTCACTAGTTAGTGGCGGAAGGGGCAAAAACCAGCCGAGCACACTCTTTTGCACACTTGGCAGGATAGCACACAACCCGCCTTCCAGGGGCTTGCAGCAACATGATCTCCACCAGCGCAACAGGGGCTTCAAACCACAAATTTCCCACTACTACTGCCTGGATGTGGCTTCAATGGTTGGTTGGTGGCGTTGCTTTAGAAATAAGTGGCCTATTGCAAAAATGCTCAAATGCCAACAGGTTGCCACACGAGCAAACCTTTGGAAATAATTTCTGCCGGCCATGACTTAAGTAAACAAAGAAAAGACCCCCATAGTGAGATACACCCTTCTTAATTCTCCAGATCAGTTCATTCTAAACTAGGAGACAACACTGACACAAAGTACTGAACAGCCGGACACGGTGGCTCACACCTGTAATCCCAGCACTTCGGAAGGCCTAGGTAGAAGGATCACTTAACCTCAGGAGTTTGAAACTAGTCTGGGCAACAGTGAGACTGTGTCTCTACTGAAAGAGAAAAGAAAATTAGCCAGGAGTGTTGTCACAGGCCTGTGGTCCCAGCTACTCGAGAGGTTGAGGTTGGAGAATTGCTTGAGCCTGGGAGGTCAAGGCTGCAGTGAGCTGTGACTGTGCCACTGCACTCCTACCTGAGAGACAGAGGGAGACCCTGTTTCTAAATGAATAAATAAAAGTACAGTGTTTCAAAAGTAAGCAGGAATCTACTGTTTAAAAGGTTCTAAATCCCAGCTACTAGAGGGTACATTTCCACATATGTACATAAAGCATCTCTATGATATAATCAGGGACCGCATCCAGTTAGAAAGTTATTTTTTTTTGTTGTTTTTTGTTTTGTTTTCTGGTCTCCTGCAAATGGGGCCATTATAATGGCAGATTGTTTACCCAGGAACTCATGTCAAAATAATTCTCCTGTTCCTATAGCTTTCTACACTAACAGGAAGAGACGCTGAATTTAATTCACTAATTAAATTAGCTGGGTACAGTGGCTCACACCTGTAATCCCAGAGCTTTAGGAAGTCAAGGCAAGAGGATTGTTATAGGCTGACTTCAAGGCTGCAGTGAACTATAATCTTGCCACTGTATTCCAGCCTGAGTGACAGAGCAAGACCCTGTCTCTAAAATAATTCTCCCATTCTAATTATAAACGTAATATTAATAGAGGGATTTCACAGAAATCTCCAGTACACAAGTAGGTTTCAAACTATTATACAACTACTGACAGTGACAATCAAGTGTACTAGGAGAAATATACTAGTCAATAGTGTTAACACAGACCTGCATTGCAAAACTAAAGGCAGAGGTCAAAATTACTATCTTCATTTCACCCGTCTCCTCTCCCACAGTTGGAAATAATAATTATTTTGTAAAAGGCAGTGTACCACTATCAGCCTACTCCTGGTAATCTTTAAAGTCTCACTCTTTTGTAAAGGCATAAACTTAACATGGGCACAGTTAAATATTTTCTGATATAAAATCACTGCAATCCACATTAAATTTGTATTTCCAAAAAAACAATTAGGTGGACATGGTGGTGCCTGAAGTCCCAGCTACTTGGGAGGCTGATGTGGGAGGATCACTTGAGCCTAGAGGGATTGAGGCTGCAGTGAGCCATGATCGAATCACTGCACTGTAGCCTGAGTGACAGAATGAGACCTTGTCTCCAAAAAAAAAAAAAAAGAAACAGAAAATAAATCACCTTTATAGATACTGGGTGTTAGAATATCAACATACCTTTTCATTCACTGAAAGAAAAAAAATTGCCAAGCCCTGTTTAAATGGTACCTGTGGCTTGACATATAACATGCTGAGATGACCCCTATAGTAAAGGCCCCAGGGCCCCTCAGGGAGAGTGGGAAATGCCCTACTAATATGAACAGTAAAGAATTAATACTAATATGAACAGTAAAGAATTAATATTAGTAGTTGCTAGAAGGTGGGTAAGAGTAGAGATATTTAATTTTTCTTAAATATATCTACACTGTTTGACTTGACAAAACTAGCATGAATGACATCTACCATTAAAAATAAAAAGAGTTTATTGCCACACCCTTCAGATAAATTTATACGATGCCTAAATAGGTAAACACAGGCTAGGCCAAATTACTTTCTAAACTGAGATTTATTGCTGGAACAGTAAAACAAATAAAGATCAGAGCCTTTTGCTTACTTCAGTTTCCATTTGAGCTTCTGCCTTCATTTACTTACTCATTATAAACAGTGCACCTCACCGTAAGAGACAAGAATACTTTCCTGGGAAACAGGCTGCGCCAATTTTATTGTAACTTTTTAAACTTCGCTCCTATGATTTATATTTTATGCAATCATCAGGTACTACTTAACCTTGCTAAACAGTAATAACAGCCATTGTGACCCAGTAGTAAGAGTATTAATCTGCACTGGTCTTACAAATCCGAAACCCTGGGTTTCAAAACGTGAGAAGCTGGGCAGACCAACCTGTGCGCTTCCGTTTTCTCTCCTATAAAAACTACTATTTGCTCCCCCCTTAAGGATGAATATCTAGTAAATTGTTCTTAAATGAATGAATGAAAGGTGAAACTAAACAATGGAGTGTAATCTCCTTTATTGGATTTGTCCCTGGACAACCAAGAAGTTACCATATTCTTTTGATCTAAATGATTCGTGCCTAAAATGTGACAGGAATAAAAACCACACCCAACTCCTAAAATTGTTACTTTTAAAGTTGTTAGAGAACAACAAGGCTTTAGAACATCAGCAGGATCTGTTCTGTTTTAAAATTGATTTGGCATCCAGGAGACTAAGCCGAGTCGCCACAACAGACTGACATGGTAATTTAATTACAGTCTTCTGGAGGGACATTATGCCATCATCCGACAGCGTTCTCTTTAGGGACCTGATTTTCTCTCTGGTCCTCCCATTCCTTGCCCCTTCCTCACCTCCTCCCACCCCTTTGGTTTGCCTTTTACTTTCTGTCTCAAAACAGCTCTCCCTCCGTTCAGCTTGTCACTTCCATGCATTCTTGGCTTTAACTAGAAATGGGGCACCCCAGATTTGCTCCCCAATCACCAGGGACCCTCAGGACTCGTGGGAAATGCCCTGCGGTCCACCCTGCCTGGGGGAGTCCTCCTATCACTGCCACGGCGGGCTCCGCAGACGGGAAAGGGTTCTCGGTGCGCGCCTAGCGACCGCAAATCACTACCCCGGGCCGCCGCCCCCGGCCTCAACCCTCCCAGAGCCTTTGGTCGGCTTTTACTTTAAGGAGGATTCAGGTGGGTCACACCCGGTCCTCCAAACGCGGGCCCGCTCCCAGGACCCCGCTCTGGGGCTCGCCCCTGTGCCCAGGCTCCTCGGCATCCCTAGCATTGTGGGTAGCGGGGAAGTGACCCCAAAGTTGCTTCTGAGTGGAGACTTTAGCACGCGAAGGCGTCCCCGCTGCTGCCAGACTTTTCAGGGGCGGAATCCCCCGCCCTTCCGGAGCCTGTCCTCCCGGCCACCACGCGCCCCGCGCCTCCGCCCCCGCCGGGGCCGCACCCGGGCCTGAGTCTGCAACCAGCCGGGGACAGCAGGCTTCCTCCCCCGCCCGGAGCGGCCGAGGGTCCCGGCCAACCTCCCCTGCGGTGAGCGTAGCGCCCCCTCGCAGTCCCCGAACTTCTTCCCGCCGTGGCTCGGGCTCTCGGGTGGAAACGCTGGGACCCTTCGCTCACCGATATCCCCATCGTCGTCGTCCTCCTCTTCCTCCATTTGTAGCAAAACGTTCCTGCTCATCTTTTTCATCTCTCTCCCTCAGAAGGCGGCTCCCAACTTGGCACGAAGTTGGGGGCTCCCAGGTTCCGGAACAGCGCGGCTCTCCCGGGGGTCGAGTCGGGGACTGCGGGGAGCGTGTAGCTCGGGCTCAGTGTCCGCTCTGCCCAGCCCACGCCTGGGAAAGCCGAGCCCAGACGCCCGCCGACCCGAGCCCAGAGCCGGAGGAAACCTCTCGCCTGCTGAGCGAGGCCCGGAGACTGAGCATGCCCAGTGCGGCCGCCGCGGCTCGCTGCGGAATGATTGAACTTCCCCGGTTTTATGAGGCGCGCAGAAGGAAGTCGGCAGGCGAGAATGGAGAGGGAGTAGTCCGGTCCTGCGCGCGGGGGAATAGCTGGAGTACGAGGCGGGAACACGCGAGGGCGGGAGTGAACGGGGTTCCCCAAACATTGATCCCCAGCAGGGCAGCTTTTCGTTCCAAGGTCGTCTGTGGACACACACTGCGGCTTGCTTTGTTTTAACCTCATACTGGAGAGGGGGGAAATGCCGCTACAGCACAACTGCACCACCCTGGTAGGCGAGCTCGTTTGAATGGCGTTTAAAGGCGACGTGGAGCTAATAAGAGGGGATGTTAAATTACTCTAACTCCGAAGTGGGGAAAGTGGAATCCGTAGGGGTAGGGTAAGATCACGGGGAAGTGGGGGTGGGAAGAGAGGCAAAACTCACACAGAATAAGCAAAAGAAGAAGGGGCAGGACGGACGGGGGTGGGGGGTGGAGAAAATTTTCTAAATAGGCGTGTGCACAAAGGCAGGAGGATTTCCGCAGACACTGAGGTCTCGGATGGTGGAGAAGCGCCCTCTACCCCGCCCGCAGCAGCACACAGGGAGTGGTCGGAAGATAACCGCTGAAGTGTGCAGCCTATTAGTCCTCTGTGTCAAAGAGGCAGAAGAAGCTGAAGGCCACTAGACTTAGATGTAAATTCTTCTAAAGCAATGTGGAAAGCTATAATAAGGGAAAAGAAAGTAGTGAAATAAAATAAGGCAGAGAGTTTTTATTTTCATTTTTAATGCTTTCCTGGAAACCAAAGGGACCGATAGGACAAATACCAAGGGATTTAGTACTTTAAAGACACTTGGAGTTGTTTGAACGGCAGGTTTTGGGGATCGTGTGTTTACAAAACTTCTTCAAAAAAAGCATTCAGGTTGGCCAATTTTTACTTCTCAAAAGGGCTACAAGGTATATTTGAAATATTGGTTATATGTGTTACTGTCTACTCCTACTCACTGAAATTTTTTATATTTTTTTCCACTGAAGGGCTAGGGTTATTCCAATAACGCTAAATCTATTGTGCATTTTTTTCTTCCATATACTTTTTCTGAGACGGTCTCGCTGTGTTGTACAGATGGGAGTTCAGTAGCTAGAACTACCAGTGGAGCACACAACCACGTGGGGCTACTTATTAAAATTTTTGTAGAGATGGGAGGGGGGTCTCACTATGTTGCCCAGGCTGGTTTCGAACTCCTGACCTCCAGTAATCCTTATCACGTGGGACTAATTCTTAAATTTTTTGTGGAGATGGGGCTATGTTGCCCATGCTGGTTTCGGACTCCTGGCCTCCAGCAATCCTTACACCTCAGCTCCTTAACTTATTTTTAATGTTTTCTATGAACGAAAGAAAACATTGAGACCAATCTAAGTGGGAAGATAGCAATGAATATATACATTAAAAGACATGATGAAATTACTTTTAAGAAAATATCTGTGGGCCGGGTGCGGTGGCTGACGCCTGTAATCCCAACACTACACTCTGGGAGGCCGAGGCGGGTGGATCACAAGGTCAGATCGAGACCATCCTGGCCAACATGGTGAAACCCCATCTCTATTAAAAATACAAAAAATTAGCTGGGCATAGTGGCCCACACCTGTAGTCCCAGCTACTCGGGAGGCTGAGGCAGGAAGATCGGTTGAACCCGGGAGGCGGAAGTTGCAGTGAGCCAAGATCATACCACTACACTCCAGCCTGGCAACAGAGGGAGACTCCTGTCTCAAAAAAAAAAAAAAAAAGAAAAGAAAAGAAAAGGAAAGAAAAATCTCTGGACAGTGTTTGAGAAGGAAGAAAAAAGAAAAAAAGAAAATATCTGGGAAACACTGTACTTGCTACTGAACGTACTTTTTTGAATAAAGAGAATTGTTTTCAGTAAAAGAGACAATACAGTACTCTGACAATAGGAGGAAAAAAATGGGAGAAGAAAGAAGATGAGAAGAGATTGTTTTCTTTTACTGAAGTTTCTCACCTAAGCTTGTGAAACTCACTAAAAGTAGAAACTTCAAAAGTGTTTTCATTACATGATCAATTTTTACAATACTCATATAACAAATTTTTGTGTAGTACTTTTTATGTGCTAGGAAACGTCTTATGTGTTTTATAGGCATCCAGTCATTTAATCCATGTAACAACCCTAGAGATTGTTACACCCTTCTTCAGGTATGAAGCAACTTGAGCATCGTGTCCAAAATCACACAGTGAGTAAATAGCGGAGCCAGGATTGAAACCTGAACAGCTTGCTTTAGAATCTGTGCTCATAGCCACTTCATAAACCACCTCCAGAGACTCCCAATCCATTTTTTTTTTCAGATCACTTTTTTCCCCACGGATTCTAAATTCAAAGTCTCATCAACTTCCTGCCATAGTTCTTTTACCAGATGTTCTCATTTTTATGTACTAAGACTTTGCTCAAAGTTACTTTGTAGTTAGAGAATTATTGTAGTTGGTTTTTCAACAAGTTTCAATTAGTCATTTAGAATTCTTCACAGATTTTAAGAGTTTACATTTTTCTTGCTTGATAAATGTTGCAGAGAAACATTGTTGGCCTTATATTTAAAGGTAGCTGTTGCTAGAAGGGAACTGAATTGCTAACTTAGGTTCTAACTATGAGTCTATTACTAGTAAATTCCATTCTTTCCTCTAATCCATTTTATTTTCTACCACTTCTCTTGCGCATTTTTTTCAACTGAGTAATATATGCCTCAAAAATAGCCAAAATAATAGGCCTGTGTAAGAATCACACTCTTATCCCTGAAGAATTATCATCCATACAATAATTGTGAAAATATTCTTAATATATAGCCAGGTTATTTGTATTTGCAACAGGGATCACAGAACCATTGTTTTCTCATTCATCCGTCATTAACTACAACTTTTGGCCACCAGGATATTCTTTCTCTGCCCATCCTATAAATGTTGTTGCTTTTCTAGCTTCAGATCTTGGGCCTCTTTTCTTCTCATCTTTCCCTATAGAACTCATTCAGTCCTATAACTTTACTATCTAGTCCAGGCAGGGACAGGTACATGGGCATTCAAACAGTGTATTCACACAGTCCTACAGTCTTATGGGCCTAATGCTTGGGATTTAAATGTTCTGTGGTTAATGCCCATAAATGATAGACTGAATAAACAAAATGTGGTACATATACACCACGGAATACTATGCAGCCACAAAAAGGAATAAGATCAAGTCCTTTGCAAGGACATGGATGGAGTTGGAAGCCATTATCTTCAGCAACCTAACACAGGAACGGAAAACTAAACACCACATGTTCTCATAAGTGGGAGCTAAACAATGAGAACACATCAACACAGGAAGGGGAAGAGCACATACTGCAGCCCGTGGAAGGGTGGGGTGCAGGGGGAGAGCATCAGGATAAATAGCTAATGCATGTGGGGCTTAATACCTAGATGATGGGTTGATAGGTGCACCATGGCACATGTTTACCTATGTAACAAACCTGCACATCATACACATGTATCCTGGAACTTAATTTTTTAAAAAAGTTTCTGTGGTTGCCATCCTGAAATTCCTTTTTTTTTTTTCCTTCTTCCCATTTTATTTTAGGTTCTGGGGGTACATGTGCAGTTTTGTTATGGGTAAATTGTGTGTTGCTGAGGTTTGGTGAATGAATGATCCTGTCACCTAGGGTAGTGAGCGTAGTACCCCAGAGGTAGACTTCCAACCTACCTCTCTCCCACTCTCCCAGCAGTCTCCAGTGTCTGTTTCCATCTTTGTATCCATATGTATTCAATGTTTAGCTCTCACATATAATTAGGAACCTACAGTATTTGGTTTTCTGTCCCTGCATTAATCTGCTTAGGATGATGGCCTCCAGCTGCATCCATGCTGCTGGAAAGGACATGATTTGGTTCTTTCCTATGGCTGCATGGTATTTCTGAGTTCTCTGAAAAATCTCCAAACTGCTTTTTACAGTGGCTGAACTAATTTACATTCCCACCAGCAGTGTATAAGTATTGCCTTTTCTTCACAACCTCGACAATATGTTGTTTTCGACTTTTTAGTAATGGGCATTCTGACTGGTATGAGATGGTATCTCATTGTGATTTTGATTTGCATTTCTCTAATGATTAGTGATAATGAGCATTTTTTTTCATATATTTGTTGTCCATGTGTATATCTGCTTTTGAGAAGTGTTCATTAGCTTTGCGCAGTGGCAGTATCGTAGCCAATGAGTTTATCCAAGTCACGATTATTGCTAATTGAAAACTTTTACCAATTCCCCACCGTGAGGACTTGCAATGTAGTTAACACTGGCAATTTTTGACAGTCTTTATGGAGACTGGAAAAAAAAGAGAGAGAGAGAGAGAGAAGTGTTCATTGATGTCCTTTTCGCATGTTTTAATGGGATTGTTTCTTTTTTGTTTATTGAATTAAGTTCCTTACAGATTCTAGTTATTAGACCTTTGTCTGATACATTCTCCTATTCTGTAAATTGTCTATATACTCTGTTGATAGTTTCTTTTGCCATGCCAAAGCTCCTTCCTAGGTCCCACTTGACTTGTCAATTTTTGTATTTGTTGCCATTGCTTTCTGGGACTTAGTCATAAATACCTTGTCAAGACAATGTCCAGAATGCTACTTTCTAGGTTTTCTTCCAGGGTTTGTATTGCTTTAGGTCTTACATTTAAGTCTTGAATCTATCTTGAGTTAACTTTTGTATGTGGTGAAAGAAAGAGGTCCAATTTCAACTTTCTGCATATGACTAGGCTGTTTTCCCAGAACCATTTATTGAATAGGGAGCCCTTTCCTCATTGCTGTTGTTCACTTTGTCGAAGATCAGGTGTTTGTAGGTATGTGGCTTCATTTTTGGGTTCTCTATTGTATTCCATTGGTCTGTGTGTCTGTTTTTATACAGTACCCTGCTATTTTGGTTGCTGTAGCCTTTGGTTTGAAGTTGGGTACTGTGATGTTCCTTGTTCTTTGCTACATCTTCGTTATTTTATTTTACTTTGTTTTATTTTTTTTGAGACAGAGTCTTGCTCTGTCACTGAGGCTGGAGTGTAGTGGCCTGATCTCAGCTCATTGCAACCTCTGCCTCATAGGTTCAAGTGATTCTCCTGCCTCGGCCTCTCAAGTAGCTGAGACTACAGGTGCACATCATAATGCCCAGCACATTTTTGTATTTTTGGTAGAGACAGTATTTCACCATGTTGGCCAGGCTGGTCTCAAACTCCTGGCCTCAAGCAATCCACCCGCCTTGGCCTACCAAAGTGCTGGGATTACAGGTGTGAGCCACCACACCCAGCCCAGTTTTGTTATTTTTGCTTAGGATTGCTTTGGTGAGTCAGGCTCTTTTTGGTTTCATATGAATTTTAGAATGCCTTTTTCTAATTCTGTGAAAAATAACTGGTAGATCGACAGGAATAGGATTTAATGTATAAATTGCTGGCCGGGTGCGGTGGCTCAAGCCTGTAATCCCAGCACTTTGGTAGGCCGAGGCGGGTGGATCACGAGGTCAAGAGATCAAGACCATCCTGGTCAACATGGTGAAACCCCGTCTCTACTAAAAATACAAAAAATTAGCTGGGCATGGTGGTGCGTGCCTGTAATCCCAGCTACTCAGGAGGCTGAGGCAGGAGAATTGCCTGAACCCAGGAGGCGGAGGTTGCGGTGAGCCGAGATTGCGCCATTGCACTCCAGCCTGGGTAACAAGAGCGAAACTCCGTCTCAAAAAAAAAAAAAAAAAAAAAAAAATGTATAAATTGCTTTGGGCAGTATGGCCATTTTAACAATATTGATTATTTTGATCCATGCTTTTCCTTTATTTTGTGTCATCTCTGATTTCTTGCTGCAGTGTTTTATAATTCTCATTGCAGAAATCTTTTACCTCCTTGGTAAGCTGTATTCCTTGGTATTGTATACTTTTTGTGATTACTATAAATGGGATTCCTTTCTCTCTTTTTTTGTTGTTGTCCGTCCTTCCTTCCCTCCCTCCCTCCCTCCTTCCTTTCTTCCTTCCTTTCTCTCTCTCTCTCTCTCTCTTTCTATTTAAGATGGGGTCTCATTGTGTCACCCAGGCTGGAGTGCAGTGGTACAATCACAGCTCACTGCATGCAGCCTTGACCTCCCAGGTTCAAGCCTTCCTCCTGTCTCAGCCTCCCAAGTAGCCTTCCTCCTGTCACATGCCACCATGCTTTGGTAATATTTTATTTTTTTAAAAGACACAGTCTGCCTGTGTTGCCGAGGCTGGTTTTGAACTTCTGGGCTCAAGAGATTCTCCTGCCTCAGCCTCCCAAAGTGCTGGGATTACAGGCTTGAGTCATGTGCCCAGCCAGGATTGTGTTCTTGATTTGGCTCTCAGGTTGGGTGTTATTAGTATATAGTAATGCTGCTGGGTTTTGTACATTGATTTTGTATACTGAAACTTTCCTAAAGTCATTTATCATCAGTTCTAGGATCCTTCTGGCAGAGACTATGGGGTTTTCTAGGTAAAGAATCACATCATCTACAAAGAAAAAAAGAGTAGTTTCACTCTCTCTCTTCCTAATTAGATGCCTTTTATCTTTTATTTATTTCTCTGGCCTAATTGCTCTAGCTAGGACTTTCAGTACTATGTTGAATAGGAGCAGTAAGAGTGGGCATCTTTGTCTTATTCTAGTTTTCAACAGGAATGTATCCAGCATTTTGGCTGTTTGGTATGATGTTGGCTCTGAGTTTGTCATATAAGGCTCTTATTATTTTGAGATATGTTCCTTTGATATGTAATTCGTTGAAATGTTGAATTTTATCGAATGCCTTTTCTGCATCTATTTAGATGATCATGTGGTTTTTGTTTTTAATTCTGTTTGTGTGGTTAATCTCATTTATTGATTTGTGTTTGTTGAACCAACCTTGCATCCCAGGAATATAGCCAACTTGATCATGGTAAATTAACTTTTTTTTTTTTTTTTGAGATGGAGTCTTGCTCTGTCACCAGACTGGAATGCAGTGGTGCCATCTCACTCACTACAGCATTTGCCTCCTGGGTTCCAGCAATTCTCCTGCCTCAGCCTCCCGAGTAGCTAGGACTACAGGCGCTAAGCACCATGCCCAGCTAATTTTTGTATTTTTAGTAAAGACAGAATTTCACCATGTTGGCCAGGATGGTCTCTATCTCTTGACCTTGTGATCTGCCTGCCTCAGCCTCCCAAAGTGCTGGGATTATTAGGAGTGAGCAGTGCGCCCACCTGGTAAATTAACTTTTTAATGTGTTACTGGATTTAAGCATGACTGGTTTTTAAGACCTGCTTGTCAGAGAATTCACTCTCATGGTGCTTCTTAGCAGGAGCCTCTGTGTCTTCCTGCAAAGGCCTCTCCACAGGCTGCTTGAGTGTCCTCATGATATGGTGCAATGCAACAGAGTAGATGAGTTAGAAGCCAGAATGTCCTTTATGACCCTGCCTTAGAAGTCACAAGTTGTCTTTTCTGCTATTGGTTACATGTGTCAGTCTGCTGTATACACTGTAAGAGGGGCTGATGCAAGAGCTTGAATACCAGAGGCGGGGACCACTGGGAGCATCTTGGAGTATGGCTGCCACACATTTCCATTATCTCGTTCTGACTCATACTGCCATCATTCTTCATTCAGTTGATTATTCATTCAACAAATATTGCCTGGGTGGTAATCCCAGCACTTTGGGAGCCAAGGTGGGTGGACTGTCTGAGGTAAGGGATTCAAGACCAGCCTGGGAAACATGATGGACCCTGTCTCTACTAAAAATACAAAAATTAGGAGGTCATGGTAATGCGAGCCCGTAATCCCAGCTATTTAGGAGGCTGAGGTAGGAGAATCATTTAAACTGGGGAGGTAGAGGTTGCAGTGATCATGCCACTGTACTCCAGCCTGGATGACAGAGTGAGACTCTGCCTCCAAAAAACAAACAACAACAAAAAACCATCACATTTTTACTGAGAACTATATGCTGGATATTGGGGATTCAATAGTAAAAATGAAAACAGACTACTTTCCGGCCCTCATGATCTTCCATTCTAGTGAATAGAGACAAATAAATATATCAGGAGATGATGGGTACTAGTGAGGAAAATGAAGCAGGGCCTGAGTGACAGAGAATGATGACTGAGGAAGGACCTTGTGTGGGGTGGTCAGGGAAAGCCGCTGATAAGGTAACCTTTTAGCAGAGATCTGAAAGAAGTAAGAGAATAAGAAATGTAAGTACCTGGGGAACAGGGTTTTAAGAAGAGAGAAATATGAAGGCCAGAGCCTTAAGGACACTCATGCTTAGTGTCTTCAAGAAGAGCAGGAAGGCCAAGGTGACTGTGGTATAGTGTAATTTATAGTAAACAGATGTATTAACTAATATTTCTGG